CATAAGGGACGTTCATTCTGAGCTACCTTCATTCTGTAATGAAGTGGTCCTCATTCTAAATTGACCCGGTGCCCTCGATTTGGTGTGGAATGAAGGGTCCTTCATGAAGGTATGAAGGGTCTTCATTAAGGTATGAAATGAGTGTGAATCGCATATAGAATGAAGGCTCCAGGTTCCCAGAGTGGCCAGACTGTGCCGCTTGCAGAAGACCCGGAAACGCTGCCAGGGGGCCCGGTATGCTTTCCAAGTGTTCGGTGCTTTGCTGTGCTTGGCGAGCTTCACCAGCCGCTGAGCGATGGCCTGCAGGTGTGGCGAGCCTGCATGTGGTCCCAAGCCCACAAGGATGCCATCGAGCGTATCAGCGTCTGTGTTACAAGGGCGGTACCGGCACAGAGGGGTTGGTGCCATCTGCAAAGTCCAGCAGGAGCGCGACTGTGCGCCAGGTTGGTGTAGGGATGCTCTGTGGGTTACGCCGAGTCGATTGAAATAGGTCTCCGTGTGGCGGGAACACGTGCAGGGCTTTGACAAAGAATTGGAAAAAACCTTCTGACGTGACTAATCGTGGCCACCAGGCGGCACGGGGCCAATACGGCACAATGAAGCAGAGGCGAGCGCGACAGGCGGCTGCGTGCGCTAAGGCTCGACCTATAATCGCGAATGGTGGAAAACACCACCCAATAGCGGGGGTGGAGGGCCAAGGTGCTGTGAACACATTGACCATGTCGCATGTCGGTGTGTGGTGGAAGCTGTAATACGGAATCATTTGGTGATTAGTGTCGGTGGCGAATAGATCAACTGCGAAGTTGCCCTGATGCCTCCACCGCTGGGCCAGTTGTGCGAACAGGGCCGGGTTGAGCATCCAGTCGAATTTGTCTTGCCCCTTGGAGAGGGCATCCGCGAACTGATTGCGGTCGCGTGGGACCCATTCCACCAGGAGGTCAATTCCCCGGTCAATGCAGTACCAGAGCAGTGGTGCACACACTTCTTGGAGCATGACCACAAGGGATCCACCTTTGACCAGGATGTCCTTAGCAGGTTGGCTGTCTGTTTTGAGTAACACCCGTTGGCCGTCCAAGCGCCCTTGCCGATTGAGGCCCTTTAGTACATTAAACATTGCTGATAATTCTAGAAAGGCAGACGAGATGGGCCCGCCCGTGTCGAACTCCCATCTGCCCGCGGCGGTGATAAGGGCACCATCTTCTCGGGCCCATCCACCCCATCCGCCATAGGAAAATTCGTAACGGCCCTCCGCATCGGTATGGATGACAATTGAGTGGATGTGGGTCGGTTGCCAAAGGGGTTTAAATCCATCGTAGACTGCAAAGTAATCACGCCAGAACTGCAATTCTTTACCGACACTGCCAGATAGGGGTCGGTGGTGGTTATAGGACCAGCGCTTGACTTCCTCTGCGACCCAGCCGCTCAAGTATCGTGTCATAAGCACCGAAAGTTTGCCGAATGAGTGTGACATGGATAGGAGGGTGCCGGCAAGAGTGGCGACGTCGCGCACCCGACAGGGAGTACCCTTGTCAAATGCTGCGAGGGTTGCGCTGATTGTCTTCTGGACCGCGAGGCGTTTCCCTTCGGGTACGAAAAGGGAGCCTTTGACAGTGTCGACTAAGGCGCCTAGGTACTCCTTCTGTTGTGCCGGTTCTAGTGAGCACTTCTGGTCACTAGCCAAGAATCCGGTGTTCGCCAAGTCGGCGAGGACTCACGCTTGCCATCGCATTAGGGCACCTTTATCCTGGTGTGCATGGATGCTATCGTCGATGTAGCAGGAGCAACGGTGTCCTTCAGATCGCCATAGCTGCTGCAGCTCGCGAGTGACTTTGGTGAATACCCAACAAGCGGGCGCGAGCCCAAACGGCAACTGCACGAACTGATAAAATTGCCCGTGCCACTCGAAGCCTAGGAATTCCCAGGCGTCCTCGTGCATGTCGATATGGTGATAACCAGACTTAAGATCCACGGTGAACATGTAGTCGTTAGGTTGCAGCACTTCACCGAGTGTCCCCAGGGCTTCGTACTTAAAACTCGGCACCACAAGATGCTTGTTAATGTAACGCGTGTCGTAGATTAGCCGGAATTTACTAGTGCCCTTTTTAGGCACCACACCGAGGGGCAATACGCAGCGTGGTTGGTGGTCCACACGTTGGGCGGCCCCGGTTGCGACTAATTCGTTGATTGCAGACGTCACAAAGTCAGCCTGCTGTTGTGCCGATGGGTGGTTCGGTTGGAAGATAGCTGCAGGAGTGTCCCGGGACCACAGGAGGGGGAAACCGAACAGGATCCACGCCATGACCAAACGGGACCGCGTGAATGTTTTCCAGAAGTTTGCGTTAGCTTTTAGCCGGCCCCTCATGCGTGGTACTTGGGTAGACTTAGGGTGGTCGGAGTTCGCCAGCCCTTCAAATTCTGCTGTAAGCTCGTCAAGGCCCTCCATACCTGCGATGTCTGGGGTGCGTCCCAGTTCGTCCACCCGCCGTGCGTGAACTTGTTCGGTGCCGGCCGTGACCGGTGCTCCACACCGGGGATTGGGGACCGCGTTGGTTGCCGGCACCGGTGCGGCAGGTGGCGCCTTGCGCGGGGCACTTGTGCCGGCGGGTGTGGGAGTGTGCTGGTTTGTACAGGGTGCAGTTGTAGTCGCTGTGTGTGTACTGGTGACGTTGTTGGCCTGATCGGGATGCTTGAACCGAAATTTAGACTGCGATGCTGCTGACTGCGGTAGGAGTGGAGCTGCGGCTGCCGGCACAGTTGTGGCCGACGAAGGAGTGAAGCCTCGTGCTGACAACAAAGGTCGAAACTGGATAGCTTTGCGTGGCTGATCCCCTTCCGTATGGAGCCCTGCCATTGGTTGGGCAGGCAGGCTGGTTGTGGTAAGCTGCTTGGCCGAGCCAAAGGAAAAAACTGAATCTTCCCTAGATGATCGTTTTCCTAATCGGGCATCGGAAAAAAGGCTTTCGGCAGGTGTGCGGGTCTCTGCCGCCAATCGTGAGAAAGCCCCGTTGAATTTTAGTTTCCGAGTAGCCATCTGGCAGCCTGGAGGTTGTACTGTCAAATACTGGCTTCCGTTGAATTGTTGGAATGAAGAGTGTGGTAAGACAAGAGCTGCATGCGAGGCGAAGTTGTGACGTACAGGTAACCCCGATGCGACTATGAGGCAGCGGCGCGAACCCAATTGTCAATTTGTTGGAGATGGGCATCCGCACCGACCAGCATGATGGTAGGCGGCGGTGGCTGATATACAGGTTAGCTGGGGGCCGCCTTAGCGGCATTACATAGTGGGCCAGCTGGGTAGGCGAGAACTGGAGTTCTGGATCGTGCGAAAAGAAATCAAACTTCCCTGCGCTGCAGGAAAGGAACGGTCTGTTTTTGTCTGCGAGAGTTTCAATTCGAGCCTCTCGAACGGTCCCTGTGGTCCCTTGGCCTTGAACCTTGTTGGGGCGCGGCAGTGTGTGGCCTGTCCTGCTCAGCTTAAGCGGTCGATCCAGCTGTTGGCGTGGGGGAGGATAAATCGGGACGGGGATTACACAACACCTGTTGGCCACATCCGGGGTCCGAACCGCCTGTCCATACTGCCGCAATAGCAATCTGTGCCCAATATCGACGAAAAAACTGCCGGCCCCTGGACAGTCTACGCAAAAGGTCTGAAAGAAACTGCCAGCCCGAACGGCATCGTCGGTAGTCTACACGCGAAAACCAAAAAAGACCGCCAGCCCCAATGGCCTCATCTGCAGTCTACACGCGTGGTCGGAAGAACTGCCAGCCCGAACGGCATCAAGCAGTCTAAGTGCGAACTACTAGCCCGAACGGCATCAAAGTAGTCCAAGCGCGAGGTCTGAAGGAACTGCCGGCCCGAACGGCCCCATAAGCAGTCTACGCGCGCGGCGGGAGAGCTGCCAGCCCGAACGGCATCGTAAGCAGTCAACGTGTGAGGTCGGGAAAACACTGCCAGCTCGAACGGCCTCATATGGGTCTATGCACGAGTTCCAAACATGGTCAGCCCATATAGCGTCGTGGTAGTCTCGGTGTAAGACGTGAGGCGTCACGATTTCTGGGGGTTGGGGCCAGCGTTCCTGTAATTGCTGTGGCATACTCCACGGAAACTGGTGGAGCCTCCCGGAGTGTGCCGGTAGCCGGAGCCGGGGTAGGGCTTATGCCGGTTGCCGGGGCTTTCTGTGTACGCCATGCTGCCGCCACCCGGGCTGCTGGCGGGCCGCATGAGCCCGTTATCGATGGTCATAGCTTCGTCCATCTGGACGTCTTCGAATTTGCGTTCTCCCGTCGCCCAGCGGCCGGACGGGTTGAAGGCTTTGCTCCTGAATGTAGAATAGTACCGCATGATGAACTCCGCCTTCCTGTTCATCGTGGCGTTCATGGCGCCATTGTATGCGGCTAAACGCAAGTCGACAATGTTAGTTAAACGAGTAGCAGCTTTGGCGAGCGCCTGACCCTCCGCGGAGGTAGTGTCCGCCACTGTTGAGATAATAATGTTGATTTGCTCGTAACGCTAAGAAAAAAGACGGTGCAACACAAAACTAGAGGACACTGTCCCAGCAGCGGGACACACCTCTTGGTAATAGTCAAAACAACGGCAGTTAAAGAACCAATGCGCCTGTGGGACCCAAGTAAGGAGCTCGGCGTCCCCTGCCGTACTGGGTCCGGCATATGCATGCATGCTTGCACCCTACTTCCACGCACCACGGCAGTTCCTTCGCAATAACTTGCCTATCTCTACACTCATACTTCGCTTCGAGAAGTCGAAGCATTTCAGCCGAACTCCATCGATATGCTCTGAAGGCCCCTCAGCCCTTCGTTATGAAATGAGCACGAATGAGCACGAAACGACAACTAGATGAAGGGATTCCCGGGTATCGAAGGGAAGCTGGTTCCCAGAGTGTATCAACCGAGTCTAATACAATGACCAGCAGTGAATTTGACAAAGTGTCCTGCTCTCATCCAAAGTCAGACCTGTGCCTAAACGCGAATTCTTTGTCAATATGTTCTTTTTCAATATGTTCTTCTTTAAACGTCTTACTTATAACACTCGTAGAAATTGCGAATACTTTAGTTTTTGGTGCTTATGTGAGCTCGAATGGGCTGGGGACCGGAAGGCACATAAATTAGGTCCCTCGCCGGTCCCACGGTCGTACATTCCCGGTCCCCTGGCCCTAGATATGCCCTACATAACCGCTCATGTACGGCTTTGGCGATTATGGCTTCAATATCCTCTCCATCAAACAAATATCTTCATTACGAAAGATCAAAGCATGCAGCCATAACTCCCAACTCAGTCGAGCACGATATGGGCCAAGTATTGTTGCTAATCGGAACCGCTTCAAGTGAGAAGGAATTCGGAACAGCTTCAATTGGGATAAGGGATTTGTGTTATATTTTAGTATGCCTTGTAGCAACGTTAAAATAGAACTCACCGCCACTCACTGTCGCTGAACTAACTTTAGTTATTCTTGGCTGACGTCCAGCCGGGAATGGAGGCGGGTGGCCACCGTGAGGAGGAATTGGGCTCGCTTGGAGAGTTGATATGGGAGGGAGGCTCGGGGCTCTTATGTGTTTTATGTGGGGCATTGAAAAGCTGTCGTACTCCGATATGGCTATCAGAATACGGCAGTTTTTTTATGTAGGCAGGTAGTGGTGGGCCACATCTGTGCCAGGGTTGTTTTTCCTTGTGGATTCGTTACCCGTTGCCCTCTTTCTTGGTCCTGATGCTATGGAGGGTGGCTGGGGCTGGTTGGGGGAGGGGGGCGTGTGTGTTTCGCCGACGTCATCGACGTGCCTGACCTAATTGTCATGTTCCCATCCACGTCCTGCACGTGCAGCAGGCCTCGGAAGATGGGGCCGACATCCATCCAGGAATGGAGGTAAGATGGGAGGGAGGGTCGGGGCTCTTGTGTGATTTACGTGGGGCATCAAAATGCTGTCGTACTCCGATATGGCTATCGGAGTACGGCAGATTTGTTTGATATAGGCAGGTAGTTGTGTGGCACAGCTGTGCCAGGGTTGTTTTTCTTTGTGGATTCGTTACCCGTCGCCCTCTTCCTTGTTCCTGATGCTATGGAGGGTGGCTGGGGCTGGTTGGGGGAGGGGGGCGTGTGTGTTTCGCCGCCGTCATCGACGTGCCTGACCTAATTATCATGTTCCCATCCACGTCCTGCATGTGCAGCAGGCCTCGGAAGATGGGGCCGACATCCAGCCAGGAATGGAGGTAAGATGGGAGGGAGGGTCGGGGCTCTTGTGTGATTTACGTGGGGCATCAAAATGCTGTCGTACTCCGATATGGCTATCGGAGTACGGCAGATTTGTTTGATATAGGCAGGTAGTTGTGTGGCACAGCTGTGCCAGGGTTGTTTTTCTTTGTGGATTCGTTACCCGTCGCCCTCTTCCTTGTTCCTGATGCTATGGAGGGTGGCTGGGGCTGGTTGGGGGAGGGGGGCGTGTGTGTTTCGCCGCCGTCATCGACGTGCCTGACCTAATTATCATGTTCCCATCCACGTCCTGCATGTGCAGCAGGCCTCGGAAGATGGGGCCGACGTCCAGCCAGGAATGGAGGTAAGATGGGAGGGAGGGTCGGGGCTCTTGTGTGATTTATGTGGGGCATCAAAATGCTGTCGTACTCCGATATGGCTATCGGAGTACGGCAGATTTGTTTGATGTAGGCAGGTAGTTGTGTGGCACAGCTGTGCCAGGGTTGTTTTTCTTTGTGGATTCGTTACCCGTCGCCCTCTTCCTTGTTCCTGATGCTATGGAGGGTGGCTGGGGCTGGTTGGGGGAGGGGGGCGTGTGTGTTTCGCCGCCGTCATCGACGTGCCTGACCTAATTATTATGTTCCCATCCACGTCCTGCATGTGCAGCAGGCCTCGGAAGATGGGGCCGACGTCCAGCCAGGAATGGAGGTAAGATGGGAGGGAGGGTCGGGGCTCTTGTGTGATTTACGTGGGGTGTCAAAATGCTGTCGTACTCCGATATGGCTATCGGAGTACGGCAGATTTGTTTGATGTAGGCAGGTGGTGGTGGGGCACAGCTGTGCCAGGGTTGTTTTTCTTTGTGGATTCGTTACCCGTTGCCCTCTTTCTTGTTCCTGATGCTATGGAGGGTGGCTGGGGCTGGTTGGGGGAGGGGGGTGTGTATGTTTCGCCTCCGTCATTGACGTGCCTGACCTAATTGTTATGTTCCCATCCACGTGCTGCACGTGCAGCAGGCCTCGGTCGATGAGGACGACGTCCAGCCAGGAATGGAGGTAAGATGGGGGCGAGGGTCAGGGCTCTTATGTGGTTAAGCAGCCCCTCGCACAAATGTGTCCGGTCGTACTTCGCGAATAAACAGTTCGTACATCGTCCCAAAAAGTCAGGAGCGAATTTTGCCGCGCAGATGCGCGCGTGCGATTCACAAAATGCGCCTGTACAAGTGTATATAAATTTCTTGGAGGTGCGCCAGCGCATTGCGCAGGCGGTCTTGCTGGCCATAGTCGCACGCGGCATGCAGGCTGGACTATTGCGTGGCTGCTTTGCAGTAACTGAAAGCACCGAAAGCCTACGTCGTAGCTTGCAACTCTGTTCTCGTGAAACTGCCGCGGGAAGATGAAGCGTTCGGCGAAGAGGCAGTTGTATGCAGCACCTTGTTCAGAGTAAAGTCAAATTACAAAGTTGCGCAAAGTATAACATACATAAACTTAATTAAACATAAGAACAGATAAGACGTTTAGAGCCTTGTCGGTGACATGGACGCCGCTGTTGGCTTGGAACAGCTATTTGCTGTGCATAGGGATGTGCCCGTGTTAGCCGTGTTGCAACAGCTCAGGATGGATTTCAGCCAGCAACAGCTTCAAGAGCTGCTGCACAACCACCGGGAATGTCTTCAGTTGGGCACGTGTAGTTTTGGTCGGCGGGTTTTGGTCGGGGGGGGTCGCATCTCACCATTCAACTTAGCATGCATGTGCTCGGTTGAATGCTCGGTAGCGTGCGAGTTTACCCCTATCAGGATGTTTGTTTGCATATCCCTACAAGAGAGAGGACTTGCACCTATGCTGATGTTCGTTCCAAGAAGTGAACTGAGGACTGATTACGCTAATCTCACATTCCAATATGCCACTGCACTTTCCTCTCCAGCCTGGCCACATTCTCTTCCTCGCAAACGTACTTGGGCACCTTACGATCCAACACCTTACATGCTTTGGAAACGCGGGCAGCTGCTTCACAAGGACCCCCCTATTTTATGTGGGGCATCAAAATGCTGTCGTACTCCGATATGGCTATCGGAGTACGGCAGATTTGTTTGATGTAGGCAGGTGGTGGTGGGGCACAGCTGTGCCAGGGTTGTTTTTCTTTGTGGATTCGTTACCCGTTGCCCTCTTTCTTGGTCCTGATGCTATGGAGGGTGGCTGGGGCTGGTTGGGGGAGGGGGGTGTGTATGTTTCGCCTCCGTCATTGACGTGCCTGACCTAATTGTCATGTTCCCATCCACTTCCTGCACGTGCAGCAGGCCTCGGAAGATGGGGCCGACGTCCAGCCAGGAATGGAGGTAAGATGGGAGGGAGGGTCGGGGCTCTTGTGTGATTTACGTGGGCCGTCAAAATGCTGTCGTACTCCGATATGGCTATCGGAGTACGGCAGATTTGTTTGATGTGGGCAGGTGGTGGTGGGGCACAGCTGTGCCAGGGTTGTTTTTCTTTGTGGATTCGTTACCCGTTGCCCTCTTTCTTGGTCCTGATGCTATGGAGGGTGGCTGGGGCTGGTTGGGGGAGGGGGGTGTGTATGTTTCGCCTCCGTCATTGACGTGCTGACCTAATTGTCATGTTCCCATCCACTTCCTGCACGTGCAGCAGGCCTCGGAAGATGGGGCCTGACGTCCAGCCAGGAATGGAGGTAAGATGGGAGGGAGGGTCGGGGCTCTTGTGTGATTTACGTGGGGTGTCAAAATGCTGTCGTACTCCGATATGGCTATCGGAGTACGGCAGATTTGTTTGATGTAGGCAGGTGGTGGTGGGGCACAGCTGTGCCAGGGTTGTTTTTCTTTGTGGAATCATTAGCCATGTGTATCTTACTAAACCACAACTGGATGGTGGCGTCGGAAGACACCGATTTGGAAGAGTTTCGCCCGCTTAAATAGCGGAGGATGCGGCCATCCCATGAATCGTACAGCCAATTCCGAAAAGGCGCGGTCCAGTCCGGAATGGCATACCGTTGATCCATGCTTCCAATCGATGACGGGGCTCCACGAGCCAGGGACCACGTCCCAGTCGTAGCCTGTGCTACGACCCCCGCCCATACTTCTGCAAGTATGGACTTCCGCCTGAGGCGGCATTTACTTGTAGGCATCCCTGACAGCTTCCCGCTCGCCGTCTGACCCAGAGGTCGGAGCCATAAAGATCTGACAGAAAAGCGGCAAAATAGGCAGTTGGAATTCAGTTAGTTCCAGCAAACTTATCCAGTAACCGCACCAAGCGAAAAAGGAAAAAATTAGACAGAAAATGTATCAGTTTGGGCCCAGATTTAAGAAGCGGAATACAACAACTATCCCCCCTCTAGATGCAGCGTCCTCGATGCATGGCAAGAAACTGGCAGAGCAGAACCGGGCCAAAACACGCGGGAGTTAAAACACTTACCTTTAACCCGCAAATCTTACCTTGCCCGTGCTCGTTGCCGTGCTTCTTCCAGCAGAGGTTTTAGGTCAGGGGTAAAGTTAGCTTCTGGTTCCCAACTGTTGTGCTCAGCCGAGTACCCAGCCCATTTGACAAGATACTCATGCACAGTGCGCTTACGGCGGCGGTTTCTGCCTACTTTTCGGGAACGGTAATCCAGTATCCGTTCAACCGCGTAAATGTCTGCTTGCCTGAAAGCCAAGTAACTGGTCCTGGCTCCGTGACAGTAGGAGCAGGTTTTGGCTGAAGCGCAGCAGCAGAGTCAGTAGTACGGAAAGGTCGGACTAGAGAGACATGGAATGTGGGATGGATGCGCATGTCAGGTGGTAGTTGCAGCTCGACTGCAGTAGACCCAACCATGCGAACGACAGGAAACGGTCCCACCCAACGAGGTAAAAGCTTACCATCCGAGAACCATCCGCTAGAGATCTCAGGTTCTTAGTGCTCAGCATCACCAACTGGCCCTGCGAGAAGGTGATGGTACGTCGGGATTTGTTAAAGTAGTCCGCCGTACGTTGCTGTGCAGCTTCAAGGCAAGATTTAGCATCAGTCAGTCGGGACACAAAGGACTTGGCAAACGTCTTTGCTGCAGGCAAGTTGACGTCCAACTCCCGCCAAACAGGCAAGGCAGGGTTGTATCCGTAATTCAGGAAAAACGGACTTTTGCCAGTCGCGCGATTTACAGCATTATTAATCGCGAATTCAGCAGCAGTTAGATATGTGTCCCAGACAGAAGGCGTACGTCCGGCATAATTGCGCAACATATCGCCAAGAGTGCGATTCGTACGTTCTGTCTGTCCATCAGTCTGTGGGTGATAGGCGGTGCTCAGGTTAACACGCATGCCTAACAGATCACCCAGGGTGCCCCAAAATCTGCTGGCAAATTGCGATCCGCGGTCGGTCACAACGTTCTTGGGGACACCATGCAAACGCACTATGTTGTCAAAGAACAGACGTGCAGTTTGCTCAGCTGTGCAGGATGATACCGTAGGTGCCAGGTGCACCATTTTCGTGAGTCGGTCTACCATGACCAAAACGGCATCGAATCCCCCCTCAGTTTTGGGCAAAGCTACAATAAAGTCCATGGTAACGCTTTCCCAAGGGGCGGCCGGCACAGGCAAGGGACACAGGAGGCCGTGGGGCTTACCAGACAGGACTTTATTGCGTTGGCACAGCTCACAGTTCTGGACATAGTTCTCAGCGTCCTTAGCCATCCGAGGCCACCAGAATTGACGACGGAGAACCTCGACCAGACGGGTGCAGCCAGGGTGCCCAGCCAGCGGGTCGTCATGAAAACGTGACAGGAGATCATGACGCAGCAAGTCATCATTCGGAACGACAACCTGCCGAAAAGTACCCTCAGTGCGGATCCAAAGGCCACTGTTACGGGTTAAATGGCCAGTATTGTGGTTATCGGAAAACCAGGGATCCGTGGCATAGGCAGCTCGAAGTCGTTGCACAAGTTCAGAGGGCACAACGGGTGCTGCAGCACGGCTGCGTGTAACGACTGACAGAATGGCTGCATGCAGACAAGGGTGCCGACTTAAAGCATCAGCAACGTTAAGGATGCCTTGCAGGTATTCCCATGTGAAGTCAAACCGGCTAAGATATTCCATCCACCGGGCTTGACGACGGTTAAGGGTAGGCACGCCTTGCAGAAATGTTAGGGGTTTGTGGTCGGTTTTGAGGGTGAACGGCCGACCCTCCAGATAACACCGCCACTCCTTAAGCGCGTGCAGTACAGCAAGAAGTTCTTGTTCCCCAGTGGTATAACGGGTTTCAGCCCCCGAGAACTTCTTACTAGTAAAAGCAATTGGTCTCCCGTTTTGCAGCAGTACTGCTCCCGTACCATGCAAGGACGCATCAGTTACGACCTCCACACGGAAAGGTTGGGAGTAGTCCGGGAAACGCAGGATGATGTCTTCAGAGACAACACGCTTAAGTGTATCGAACGCTTGCTGGCAGTCAGGACCCCAGCAGTCAGGAGATACAAAAGCCCCTTTACGTGTCAGATTTGTCAGAGGTGCAGCAATAATGGCATAGCGTTCGATGAACTTACGGAAGTAGTTCGTCAGCCCCAAGAACTTCCTTAGTTCTTGTAAATTGGTCGGGGTAGGCCAGTTCCGTACAGAAGCAGTCTTACGGGGGTCCATGCGGATGCCATCCTTGGAGACGATGTGACCAAGGTATTCGACCTGAGGCTGGGCCCAGTGGCACTTAGAACGCTTGGCAAACAGTTGCTCACGCCGCAAAATTTCAAAGACCAGTCATAAATGCTCCAGGTGCTCTTCACGTGTCTTTGAATAGACCAGGATATCGTCTAGGTAGCAAACGACAAAACGGTCTATGTAGGGCCGAAAGGTTCGGTCCATCAGGGCTTGGAACGTGGCAGGAGCGTTCGTCAAGCCGAAGCTCAGCACAGTATACTCGTAATGACCAGAGGGCGTACGAAATGCAGTTTTCGGAATATCGA